TCAGCTTCACAATTTTGGATTACAAAAGTGTACCACCACACCTAACGAGACTATTCTTTTCCTCTGTGTAGTTGTTTCTCTAAGATTTTTGTAGTTCATATCAATAAATTACTTGGAAAAACACTGAAGAACAATGAACTAGTTCTCCTGAATTCTGTTTTAACACTCCTTTGAGATAGGAACAATATTCTGGTTCTTCACTATCAAATGAGAAAGTAGATATAAAAAGGCATCTTCCCTATTGCATGTGCCTACCTACCACACTAACTCCTGCCTTAAAAGATAATCCAGGAGGAATTTTACAGTATTAAACTTTTAGAAATGGGTACTTGAGCCTAACAAATGTCCTTGCTTTGATGGTTTAATGGTAAATTGGCAAGAGATTAAGTTTTGTGTGTTTGAAAATATGTATCTTTTTCATTTTTATTTATTGATATTGTTATTATAAAAGTGATATACGGGCTGGGAAGTTGGCTCAGTGGAAGAGCGCTTGCCTTGCATGCCTGAGGCTCTGGGTTCGATTCCTCAGCACCATATAAGCAAAAAAGAAAAAAAAGCCGGAAGTGGCGCTGTGCCTCAAGTGGTAGAGTGCTAGCCTTGAGCTGAAAAGCTGAGGGACAGCACTTAGGCCCAGAGTTCAGGCCCCACCACCGGACCAAAAAAAAAAAGTGATATACGGAGAGGTTACCATTTCCTAAGTCAAATGAGTACCTTCCTTTCTCTCTTTCTTTCTGTCTCTCTCTATGTTTCTCTATCTTTCTCTCTTTCTCCTTTCTCTCTTTGCTTCTTTTTGTTGGTTGTGGGGCTTGAACTCTAGGCCTGGTTGCTGGCCCTCAGCTCTTCAGCTCAAGGCTAGTGCTCTACCACTTGAGCCTCATGCATGTGAGGCAAACACTCTACTGCTGAGCCACCTTCCCAGCCCCATGAGTACATTTCTTTTTGGACAGTGTCACCCTTTCACACTCTCCCAGTTTTTCCGTCTTGTCCCCACCCACAAGTTGTATAGTTTATTTTCAACATACTGTCTTGTGAGTACTACTGCTGCATTTGTTCACCCTTTGTTTCTCCCATTTCTGTGTCTGTCCCTTATCCCCCAAAGACAGAAAAATATATCTTAATTATATGTTTTATTTAGGTTCTGAAATTAAGCAAACTGAAAGGATAGAAGTTCCGGTAAAATTGGTAATATGACATTTCCCAATTTGAGACAGGTTTTTCATAACAGCTTTAATCTGTTCAAATCATAATTTCAACATTAAAAAAAACTGGAGTGCAACCAAAATTCTGGATTGCAGAATGTTCTAGGCTGTTTTTAATTAAATGTTCAGCATCTTCAACAAGGTTGTTATAGAGATATTTGAAGATTTTTTGTAGCTTGGATAGTCAAGCGTTTAAGTTGTACTATATCAAACAAGATTTTCTTGCATATATTCAGGAAATTGTCTGCTTTTGTATTATTACAGCATGTATGACATTCAGGTAATTTTTCATCCTAATTCTTCTTAAAAATATATGGTACATAGAGTCCTAGAAAAAAATACTTTTCCTAAATCTTAAAATGCAATTTCCCCTTGGTATCCACAGAGGACTCATTCTAACACACACGTACACAGACAGATGCTGAAACCTCAGCAGGACCCTGTGTAAAATGGCATCATATTCATACGTAGAATATCAATTACACTATGTAATTGCTATGTAAATAATTGCATTGTTTAAGGAATGATAGCAAGCCTGTCCGTTCTCAGTACAGATACAGGTGTTATTTTTCCTTCAAATATGATTTAGATTTAGTTGGGTCCATAGAAGTAGAATCTTAGTTTTGTGTTCTTAAATCAACAAATGTTTTTAGTATTTATTGATCATTATTATATGCCTATTATGTGCTTGAAACTGTTTAGGCACTTGTGTTTCTGCAGTAGACAAAAGAATTCTTTTTTTTTTTTTGTCTTTTCTTTTTTGGTACTGGGGATCGAACCCAGGATGTTGTATTTCCTAGGCAAGTGCCACTAAGCTATATCCCAGCCCCAAAAGAATTCTTATCTTTTGCTGAATTAAGACTCATTAAAGTGGTAGAAACTTCTATTACATTTTGTGTGTTTATGTGCACATGTGCTGACACTGAAGCTTGAACTCATAGCCTCTTAGTCATGGCCTATACTCTTCTACTGGACTTCCAATTTTTTGCTAGTTAACTGGGGATAAGAGTCTTTCAGATCTGTCTGTGAGTCACAAGCACCCAGCTACATTTCATTTCTTAGTATTGCTTTTTCCTATACTTTGAAATTTTTACTTGTCTTTTCCTCTCAAGATCTGCTCTTAAAAATGTAATTTTTTTTCTTTTATGCATTTATTTCTAACGCATTTATAAGATTATTTCTCTGTTGCTTTGTATGTCCCTACCCCACAGTATAACCCCTGCTTTCACTGTATTTGATGTCGGTATAATTTGTGGAGGGGAAGGGGAAAAACAAGTTGTTTAAATAAGGATACAGGTGGGCCCGTTGCAACAATGAGAAGTACAAGTTGTCATGTCAAAAACGAACTTTACAACTTTGGTGGGGGTGGGGAGTGTGTGTGCGAGGATTGGGTGGGGGACAGAGGGAGGCTGGGAAGGGATGGGAAGGGGAAACAAAGGAGGAGGCTACAATGCTTGATAAGAAATGTACTCATTATCTTGCCCGTCTAATTGTAACCCCTCTGTACAGTATTTTCACAATAAAAAATAAATAAAAATTTTAAAAAATGTAATGTACTGCCAGGTATGGTTTATTGCATCTGTAATTCCAGCTACTTAGGAGGCAGGAGATCAGGAGGATTACAGTTCAAAGCCAACCTTGGGCAAAAAGTCTCAACCAATAAGCAGATTGTTCATGTTTGTGGTCCAAACTATGGAAGACTAGGTTGGAAGAATGCAGTTCAGGCCTGTGTGTGTAAATAGGGGGGAGGGGGGAAGGGCGAGGTTTAAACAAAGCAAAAAAGGTCTGGAGTCATGACTTAAATGGTAGAGCTCCTGCTTTGCAAACATGAGTCCCTGAGTCTATAAGCATGAGTCCCTGAGTCTAAGCTCCAGTATAGCCTTAAATCAAAATACCTTTGGTTCCCTTTCAGATTTTACCCTAGTGAAATTTCCTAGATTTAGAATATCTGTTTCTTTTTTGGGCGGTGGGGAGGTCTGGTCGTGAGGCTTGCACTCTGGGCCTGGACGCTGTCCCTCAGCTCTTCAGCTCAAGGCTAGCACTCTACCACTTGAGCCACAGCGCCACTTCTGGCTTTTTTCTTTTTGCTTATGTGGTGCTGAAGAATCGAACCTAGGGCCTCAAGCATGCAAGGCAAGCACTCTACCACTGAGCCACCTTCCCAGCCCCTTAGAATATATGTTTCTTTTTTTTTTTTTTTTTGGTCGGTCGTGGGGCTTGAACTCTGGGCCTGGGCGCTGTCCCTCAGCTCTTCAGCTCAAGGCGAGCGCTCTACCACTTGAGCCACAGCGCCACTTCCGGTTTTCTGGTGGTTTATTGGAGATAGGAGTCTCACGGTCTCTCCTGCCCGGGCTGGCTTTGAACCGCGATCCTCAGATCTCAGCCTCCTGAGTAGCTAGGATTACAGGCGTGAGCCACCAGCGTCCGGCGAATATATGTTTCTTATACATAGAATGGAAGTGATATTAGAACCAGTGGCATACTCTCTTTGGAAAAGTATACCATTGGAATAAGAAATGGTTACCTGCTATTACTAAGTATATGTATCTGAGTGTGAAAATATAAATAGGCAAAAATGCCTAGATTCTCACCCATATACCATTTGAGTTCTCCATTTTGGAAACAGATTTCTTCGTGAACTGCCCTAGTTAAATGAAAACCTGCTTCAAAATCAAACCTATAGAGAGTCCTCAAAAAACAATGTAAAACTGTGCTGTGATCCTCTTGGATATTTATTTGGCAGATCTCAAGTTGAGATAGAATGAGGGCACCCACACACCCATGTTTATTGCAGCATCTTCACAGCAGACAGCCTTACAGCTGATGCATGGGACAGATAGGCATGAAAATGCATGTATGCACCTTTTATTTAGCTATACAGAAGAGTGGAATTAGGTCATTTGTGAGGAAATGGGTTGATCTGGAAACCATCCTATTAAGCAAACTAAGCCCAGACAAAGGTCACATGTTTCCTCCTAAGGATGCTAGACGTAAAATGTAAACATGTACAGGATGTGTGTGTGTGTGTGTGTGTGTGTGTGTGTGTGTGTGGTTATGCATATATGTGCATGTGTGGGATATGGTGATGCCCTTTGAACAATTAACATGCACTTTGTTAGGAAGTTGAAACATGTCTGAGGTGTACGTTCTAGTGGGAGGAGAACAGAAGGATGAAGAGGGAGAAGGAGGGCAAATATAGTCAAAATGCTTTATGTACATGTGTGAAAATGGAACAGAGAAGCTTGCTGAGACTGTTTCAAGGAGGGAGAGTGATGGAAAGGATGACTAATAAAGATGCATTATATATAAATGGGCATGGTAAAATGAAGCCACTTTGTGCAACCAATTGACAGTAATAACAAAAAAAGAATTGAAGCTTTATTCTTTTCATTTTCTAACCTTTTTTTTTTTTTTTTTTGCAAAAATTAGCATTCATTGAGTAAACTTTTCCATATTCAAACACTGCCTGAAAGATCACTGTGTGCCAAGGCCTGTTTTAGGCATCAGGTTGCAGCATGAATGACTTAGATCGCTCCTTGCTCTTGTAGGCTTTCCCTTCAGTGGAGCCACTAAGCACTAAATAAGCATTTATAGTAAGTAACAGGAACTCTAGAAACAGTTGAGCCATGAGAGAAGTTAGTGGAGATGAAGCTAGAAAATAGAAAGAATGGCTAAAACGGGTAGTTTGAAAGTACCATAGTTTCAGATGATTTATAAAAGCAAAATAATGTTTCTACATACTGTTTTTAAATGACTTGAATGAACTCCTGGCCCTGACCCATTTTTGTTATTTCTTTCCAGTTCGTGAAGTGTGGATATGCAGGCTCTAACTTTCCAGAACACATCTTCCCAGCTTTGGTTGGAAGACCTATTATCAGATCAACCACCAAAGTGGGAAATATTGAAATCAAGGTAATGTTTTATTTACTGTTAAAGTGATCATCAAGGCATATGAGGTATTCTTTGAATTAAGTAGCTTTAAATTATGATGCCATGAAAAACAAAGGGGAAGGAAGGATTTTTCTTATTCTGATTTATATTAACATAACAGGGACATAAGAATTTATTTAATCTAATTTTATGTAAGGCTTAATGCCATTACTATCTGGAGTATAATACTTACATTGATATGAAACCCTATTTTAGTAACTTGAAGTCCTATTACATAATTTTTAAAGGACATCAGCCTGGAAATTTTTGTCTTTCAATCTGATGTATTTGTCATATCCTAGTGTCTTTTTGGGACCTTAGATTTTTTTCCTCTGTATTTTATTTTCCTACTCTTTAAATATAGCTAGTCAGGAAAACACAGAATGCAAATCTCATTGGTTCCTCTTTTCACTAATATAACTGATTGCCATAAAATACTAAAGGAAGCTGTGCAAGTCTTTATTTGGCCTTGCACTATTTATCTTACCATAGGGAGGCAGGAGGGCATGTTATCATTGCCTACTTTATATATGTTAGGAAAGATTAAGAATGGTGGCTTTTTCTCCTACAGGACTAAAAATCAAGGAAGAGTTTTTGACGAATTGTTTGTGACTTTGCCCACATTGTTAGTCCTATCCGGACAGTCTTTGAGAAGACTTAGTAAAGTGTTAGGTCATAAGTCATTTGATGGAGATATTTGTTTGAGACATCTAGAAAGGTGGTTATGATAGGTAGTTGAGACTTGCTTTTTGGTAGGCATCTACTGTTGGTAATAGATAATTTAATTAATGAACAAAACTTACAAACTGAGGCTTGTATTAAATTTTTGAAAAAAAGTAGTGAATTCTGGCCTTCATTAGGTTAAACTCACCTGAAACATTAAATATAAAACTTTTTAGAAAGGGGCTTTGTTTTAAAGAAAATTTTTGAGATTCTTTAGTCTCTTTTTGTGAACTTCTTTCTGATTGAATTCTGTCAAACTTCACTTTGGAAGTTGAGCTAATAATAGTGGTAAGGACAAACTACTGAGTAGAGGAAATACTTTTCATTCAGTGTCTGGCTGTTTTACATTTTTTTATGTACAATAAATTTTTGAGATATAAAGATACATCAAATATAGCCTTTTTTTTTTTTTTAATGCCAATCCTGGGGCTTGAACTCAGGGCTGGACATTGTCCCTAAGGTTCTTTTGCTCAAGTCTGGCACTCTACCAGGTAAGCCACAGCACCACTTCCAGCTTTTTCTATTTATGTGGTACTGAGGAATTGAACCCAGGGCTTCATGTATGCTAGGCAAGCTCTCTATCACTGAGCCATATTCACAGCCCTAAAGCCATTTTTATTCTCCAGCATAGACAACAAATACTATACATGTCTTCATACCTACTTTCTTGCTTTTTAAGGCCCAAGTGAGAGAAATCAAACTTGTTACTATTCTAATAAGATATTTTTGTCAAGGAGTTCCCCAGTAGCATTTGCTGATCTGATTGGTAATTTTCTGTTCTATTTACTCAGTTCTTCTCACTCTGCTCAGTCTTTAAAGCCTTTCAGGTTAAATTGTTTTTTCAGTAGAAAACAGTAAGAGACCTGTGTTAGATTTAGTTTGAATACTGTTGCTTAGACAAACAGTCCTGAATTATATAACTCTATTTATACAGCTAGACCTTTGCTGTTGCTACTTATTTTCATTAATTCTTAAATCCAGTAATGAAATGAATTCCTGTGCTTGGTGAATTGTCTTATGCTTACATGTCCTAATAGGTAAAATATGATGGTAGACTAAAAAAGATGGGAATTTGAATCATTTATTGAGTTAATTTTTATTCAGGAATAATAACTGCCCATAGTAATTTGGCCCTGATTATTAACTCCAGAAAATATAGAGTATTGCATCTGACCTCAACCTAATTTGTCTCTGTTACTTGTATGTTTAAAAATTTCAGTGAGGATTTTATTTAGGCCTTTTCTGACTCTTAATTCTACCTTCTCTTTCTTCACCTTTCTTGACCTGTTGAAGTAGAATAACAAAAAGATGGTAAGTGAGGTTACACACATGCTCTCTGTTTGTTTTCCACTTTTGCTTGGTGGGACAGTAGTTGTTGTTTTGTGTCCCTTTAGAATTGGGGAGGGGGGTTATCCCATATTTTAATTTAAGTTTTAACCTTTTTCATTGCTTCAATTTGGTAGCAACTAATTAAGTCTTATACTTTCCTGATAGTATCAATGGACCAGACAAGAACTAATTACTAACATAGTTTTGAATTGTTTTCCTTGTTGTTTTTATAGATGAATGCTATAATTAAAATGGAATGTAGTATGCGTAATATTAGAAACAAAGTGGCTTTATTACATAAGATAATTGTGAGCCTGAAAATTGAGATGAAGTTGTTAACATTTGGATAGATTCACTTTGTTGACTGATGTTATTGCTTACCCTTCATTGTGATTGCATTTAGTTTATCATAACATTTAATGGAATAAAATTTTAATATGCAAAGTGAACCAAAAATAGAGAAAGAAATGAAAAAGTAACTTGTTCCCATACCATTTTTATTGAAGAATAGATTTGGCATTTTTCTGAAGATAAGTAAGAAAAGGATAACACACCTATAAAGCTTTCCCACAACAAGAACAGATTCTCCATTCAGCTTGTCAATAAATACCATTGTATGGTAGGTTTTTGTTTTTGTTTTTTCTAGATAGAAAGTTGCTGAGCTTATCTCAGACATTGTACTCTTTTTTTTTTTTCCTCCCATTTTTCTTTTCCTTTGTGGTACTGAGGAATCAAACCTAGGGCCTTATGCCTGTTAGACAAGTGCTCTACCACTGAGCTACATTCCCCAGATCCCATTTGACTCATTTTTTTTCTGTGATAATATAAATGCTTCCATATTCAATGCTTTTAATTTTTTTAATATTTGTTAAAAATGAAACTGGGTACTGGTAGTTCATACTTGTAATCCTAGCTACTCAGGAAGCTGAGATCTGAAGATTGTGTTTCAAAGCCAGCCTGGCAGGAAAGCCTGTGAGACTCAACTTTCATTAACCACCAGAAAACCAGAAATGGCACTGTGGCCTTGAGCAAGAGAGCTCAGGGACAGCGTCTAGGCCCTAAGTTCAAGCTCCACAACCTACAAAAAATAAAATAAAAAATTAAAGAATTTAAAAAATATTATGTGTAAGCATCTTTGGTATCGATAAGGATCAGACACTTCGGATGATATGTTTTAGTTGTTAACTGTGAAGTTTTGTTTTGAATAAACAAAAACATTTGAGTGGAAATTTTTAAATTTTTCCAAAAAAATGTACATTTGTCTTAGTGATTTTCTAAAGACTGTACACGTAGACTTAACAGCTTTTCAAAGAGGGATTTCCTTCAAGGAGTATATGTGTTGTTTTAAACTTGCTTTGTTTTCTCACTCAAGATGACATTGTTCAAAATGATTTTGGCAAATAGAATCTCTATAGCCTACTTTTAATAAAATATAAATACCTTTGAAAAAGTGTCTTCATTAATGATTCTTCAGTCTTTGAAATAATAGAATGTGGTTCAGGCTTGAATTCTAGTAGTTGGTTAAAAATTTCAGAACTGATCTGAGTATTTGTAAATTTGTTCTGAGGGATGAAGTTAAGTTTTTTAATACTTTTTTGTTTGTTTGAGTATTGGGGCTCAAACTCAGGCCTTTGCCCTCTCAGCTTTTTCCAGTCATGGCAGTCATGTCTTAAAGCCATGCCTTCAGTTCCAGCTTTTTTGCTGCTTAGAGATTGAGTCTTTCAGACTAGCCTCCGACCACAATCCTCAGATATCAGCCTCCTGAGTAGCTAGGATTATAGATGAAAGCCACCAATGCCTGGCTAGCACTTAACATTTTTAACTTTTGAATGTTGAAGGAGTCTAGGGATAATTACATGTTTTAGATTTTTCTTTTGCAATTTTGGATTTTGAACACAACCTTGCCCTGCACCCATATCCCTTTTTAATTTTTAGGCTAGAATCTTGAATTTATGTATAGGCTGGCCTAGAATGGAATCCTGCTATTTATGCATCTCCTGAAAACTAGGATGACAAGCATCTACTACCTCACCCATCCTTTTCTCAAGCATTTCTAGGTTAAGTTAGGGTCTCATGACTAGCCTGGCCTTAAATTGTGATCTTCTCAATCTCAATCTCCAAAGTAGCTAGGATTACTGGTAAGAGCAACCACACATAGCTTAGCTTGTTCTAAGTTGTTTTTTTGTTGTTGTTGTTTTTGTTTGTTTATTCTTCCTTATCCTGGGATTTTAATTCAGGGACTGGCAATTACAAATTTGGTATGCTCATAGCTAAAGCTCTTCTCACTTGAGCCAGTGGCACCCAGATACACTTCCAGGATTTTTATTTTATTTTCATTTGCACCAGTCCTGTGGCTTCAGTTTAGGACCTGGGTGCTGTACAGGTGGTTAATTGGAGATTAGAGACTTTGAACTGCAGTCTTCAGATCTCACTCTTCTGAGTACCTAGGATTATAAATTGATCTTCCCTTCCTCCTTCTCTCCCTCCCTTCTTTATCCCTCCCTCCCTCTCTTCCTTCCTTTCTCCCTCCCTCCCTCCTTCCCTTCTTCCCTCCTTCATTCCTTCCTTTTTTTTCTTTTTTTGTTCCAATACTTGAACTCAGGGCATAGGTGCTGTCCCTGAATTTTTTTGCTCAAGGTTAGCACAACCACTTTAGCCACAGTTCCATTTCTGGCTTTTTTGCAGTTAATTGGAATAAGAGTCTCAAGAAGTTTCGGGTCTAGGCTAGCTTCAAACTGCAATCCTCAGATCTTAACCTCCTAAGTAGCTAGGATTACAGGTGTGAGCCACCGGTGCCCAGAAATCTTTTCTTTACTACATTTTAAATTTTCTTGTTGTTGTTCAGATGGAACTAGGACTATTCAGTGTCAAAGGTTTCTTTCAGTTAATCCTTCAAATAGTGTGTAGGGTCTTAGAAGTCAATACTTCTTAGACCTGGCATTGTTTCAGAAAAAGGTAAGCTTCTATACTTTGAAATAAAAAGCATTCTCATACTTTAAATTGGTTGAAATAATATTGATTTGATCAATTATCTATGCAGTCCAAAAATATAGATGAGAATAACAAATTGGATATCAAATTTGTTAATATCTGTAAGTACATATATACTTGTTGGTATGGATTTCTCCTCTATTATTTGTTAAACAGTGTTTAGCCTATATAGCAATGTTAAAAGAATTATATTACTCTGTACATTGTATTATTCTTTATATTCTATTCCTGTCACCTAAATTCTGATACTATATATTGTATTGACTTAATCACATACCTATCCAAATATCCATCTTGGTTTTTGATGTTTCAAAGTAAGTTAATAGATCAGTATATCTCTTCCTAAATACTTCCACCTAAGCATGTCATTCACTAGTACAGCTTGTTTCGCATTTTCTTCCCTAAGATTTTAAATAATTAACAAATTTGGCCAGGTGCTGATGGCTCATACCCGTAATCTAAGCTACTCAGGAGGCTAAAATCTAAGGATCAAGGTTTAAAGCCAGCGCAGGCAAGAAAGTTCATGTGTCTCTTATTTCCAATTAACCCCTAGAAAGCTGGTAGTACATCTGTGGCTCAAATGGTAGAGGGTCAGCCTTGAGTGCAAGCTTGAGAACTAGCATTCATATACATACACAAACAGACACATACTTATTATTAAATTATGGGGAAATTAGCTTTATAAGGAAATTAGTTGCAAAAGGAAGTTTTAGAAATATTTTTAGTATCTGTTTTTACTTTGTTTATATCCTCTTTTTTTAATTTTAATTTTTTGTGAACATACTGTACAGAGGGGTTACAATTATTTATATCCTCTTTGATGTTGCTTTCAGTGAATTTTCTAGAGATCTGGTTTTATTTTATTTATTTATTTTATTTGTTTATTTTTTTGTCGGTAATTGGACCTGAACTCTGAGCCTGGGCACTGCCCCTCAACTCTTCAGCTCAAGGTTAGAGCTCTTCCACTTGAGCCACAGCACCACTTACGGCATTTTCTGCTTATGTGGTGCTGAGAAATCGAACCCAAGGCCTCATGCATGCAAGGCAAGCACTATACCACCAAGCCACCCTCCCAGCCCTGTTGTTGTTTTAAATAAGTTTCTCACCCTGGTTTTACTTTACCTGGGTTTGTTTTTTTTTTTTTTAATTTTAAAATTCGTATATTTTAAGGTTACCTTATCTTAATTTTGCTACTTCTTTTTTTCATTTCTCTATAATTTAAACTTTATATTGTAGCAAATAGTAGCTCGTTTTTTCTTTTATTATTTAAGTAGTTTTACAAAGGGATTTCAATTCAACATATTAGTTTATGAGGACAATGCATCATTCTCCCCCATTAGCTTATTCTTGTATTTGAGTGAATTCATCAACACACAAAAATTAGTATTTACTATCTCAGCTACCTTTTTTCAAGCCTTGTTAAACATACAGTTGTTTTTGTTTTTTTTTTCCAAATATGGGACATCTTAAATATATTCTCATTGGAGACAAGTGCTGTGAGTATTATGCTTCATGTGTGATAGCATAGGTTTTTCAGTATTATACTTTAATATTGACAATTTGCCAATGAGATCATTTTAAAGAATGTTTTCTAATGCCTCATTGTTTTCTGTAACAACAAATTTCCCTTAGTCTAGTTGAGATATGTATATAGAAATAGAATGTAAATTTTAATTTAGACAAATAGAAGTTTGTGAAATTTGCCATTGGTGCATATCTGCATTATTATAGAGTAATAATCATTTTTTGCTTCTTATGTTTTCTAGTACTTACATTTATCATTTTGATATTTAGTACAAAGAAATGTGTTGCATGAATTGAACTTTTTTTCTACAAGTTTTTTCCCCTGATATACTATTTCACATATCACAGGACTTATTTTTTGAACATTTGAGCAAAAGAAACAGATGAAACCTCATACAAAACCCTCCAAAATATGGAAATGTGGGGTTTATTTGTACTAATGCTCTTCTTTTGGAAACATAAAGGTAAGGTCAATTTATTGATTTAAACCACACAGTATCTAGTTTTATTATCTGTGGTTAAACTTTACAAGACATTCTTTGGTGTGAAAATATTTTTTAACTGTGGAATAAAAAGCTTTATCTAAAAGTGCCAGAAAACATTAAGTTTTCTTTAAAATCTTGGGAATTTAATTTCTGAAACAAATTCATTTAAAAATGTGGATGGTTTAGAGCTTTGTTATTGTAATTTTCTAGGATCTTATGGTTGGTGATGAAGCAAGTGAATTACGTTCAATGTTAGAAGTTAACTACCCAATGGAGAATGGTATAGTACGAAACTGGGACGACATGAAACACCTGTGGGACTATACATTTGGACCAGAGAAGCTGAACATAGATACTAGAAATTGCAAAATTTTACTCACTGAACCTCCTATGAACCCAACCAAAAACAGAGAGAAGATTGTGGAGGTGAGTGTTTAGATAGGATATACATGTTGTCTCTGTGTTATAAGGTTAAATCAATTTATTTTTCCTTTAAAAAATAATAATTCTTTTTTCTAATATGGTTACTATGGGTAAAGGGAATAAAAAAAATTTTATTCCTCAGATTCTTTTTTATTTTTGCATTTTCTACAGGTTTAGCATTCCTAATCTGAAAATCTGAAACTTTCTGCCTATATTTATGATGCTCAATAAGTTTTAGGTTCTGGAACAGTTTTAACTTCTGGGTTTTGGATTGGAGACTTTCAGCCAGTAAAGTCTATGCAACTATTCCAAAATCTGGGGCTGGAGGTATAGCTCAAGTGGTAGAGTACCAACTATGAACAGCCAGACTGAAAAACTCTGAAATTAGTTTTGGTTCCAAGCATTTCAGATAAAGGATATTCAACAAGTATATACTAGTTATTCTAAACAGAGTGAACAAAACAAAATCTTGCTAACATGAAGTTTGTATTTTAGCAAAGAAAAATATGCCCTCCCCCCCCCAAAAAAAAAGGTGAGTTCGTTTGTTAGAAGGTAAGAGATGTTAAAGGGAAAATATGGAGTAGGCTAAGGAGGTTGAAAGGTTGTGGTTGTATATAGGTTGTGAAAGTGGCACTTAAGCTAAAACAGGGTAAAAGAGGTAGGAAGTATGTATAGGGAAATAACATACGAGAAAAGGGTACGTGGCTAGTGTAAAATCTTAAAGTGGGACTATCTTGTCATATTAGAAAATAAGGAAGCCAGTGTGGCTGGAGGATCTGGTTGAGGAGAGAGCAGTGGGAGGTAAGATTGGATACGTATCCTGAATGGGGAACTCAACTTCCTTTGAGTGAAATGAAGACACATGCTCAAATTTAATTTCTTGAGTTGCTCTTTTGTGAGTATACTATAGGAAGGCAAAGATTAAAGAGACGAGTTTGGAGGCTTTTGAAATTAGTTATGGAAAAGATAATGATGGTTACAATCATGAATAATACAATTGTGGGAAGTGATCAAATTATGGGTCTATTTTAAAGGTAAGGCCAAAGAATTTTTTTTTTTTTTTTGCCAGTCCTGGGGCTTGAACTCAGGGCCTAGGCTTTGTCCCTGAGCGTCTTTTGCTCAAGGCTAGCACTCTACCACTAGAGCCACAGCGCCACTTCCAGCTTTTTCTGTGTATGTGATACTGAGGAATTGAACCCAGGGCTTCATGCGTGCTAGGCAAGCACTCTACCACTGAGCCACCTTCCCAGCCCAAAAATTTTCGATATAGGTGACAGAGAGGGATAGTCATTAGACATTCAAGTAGAAATGTCAAATGTTTTAGTTGTATTTATAGGGTCAAGTTAAGGGAAAAAATCTGGGCTAGAGATGTAAATTGAAAGTTTTCAAGATATGAATAATATTGCTCACTAAAGAAACCAAAAGCCAGTGGCACCAGTGGCTCACACCTGTAATCCTAAGTACTCAGGAGGCTGAGATCTGAGGATCACAGTTTAAAGCCAGTCCAGGTTAAAAAAGTTCCTGTGAGGGGTTGAGAAGTTGGCTCAGTGATAGAGTGCTTGCTTCGCATGCATGAGGCCCTGGGTTCAATTCCTCAGCACCACATATGCAGAAAAAAGCCAGAAATGGTGCTGTGGCTCAAGTGGTAGAGTACTAGCCTTGAGGTGAAGAGCTGAGGGACAGTGCCCAGGCCCAGAGTTCAGGCCCACAACCGGACCCAAAAAAAAAAAAGTTCCTGTGAGACTCCTGTCTCCACTTAACCAACCAATGCCTGAAAGTGGTGTTGTGGCTCAAATGATAGAGCGATAGCCCTGAGCACAAAGAGGCTTAGGGACAGCACCTAAGCCGTAAGTTCAAACCCCTCAACCAACCAAAGAAAGAGAGAGAAAGGAAGGAAGAAAGTAAGAAGCCAAGCCGGGCGCTGGTGGCTCACGCCTGTAATCCTAGCTACTCAGGAGGCTGAGATCTGAGGATCGCGGTTTAAAGCCAGCCCGGGCAGGAGAGACCATGAGACTCCTATCTCCAATAAACCACCAGAAAACCGGAAGTGGCGCTGTAGCTCAAGTGGTAGAGCGCTCGCCTTGAGCTGAAGAGCTGAGGGACAGCACCCAGGCCCAGAGTTCAAGCCCCATGACTGACCAAAAAAAAAAAAAAGAAGCCAAAGTATGCAGTGCTAAAAAGGCAAGGCCAGCCAAAAATCATGAAAAAACTAATGGTCTTAACGGTTGAGACAAAAGAGCTAGCAAGACAGCTACCTTGCTAAAAGTTTAGGTAAGTTAACCTTTTACAGCCTTCTTTCCTTTTGTTGGCATGCGCATATGTAGTAGAGCCTTGGTGTCCTTGGGTGTGTGGTTCCAAGGAGACTACAGTTAAGAAAAAAACACAAATGTTGAGGCCCCATAGAGATTAGTACTGTACTAAGGATGCTTGATTCATTTTTTTTTTCCCATAGTGCTCCAACTTCCACTAAAGACAAATCTAAAATTTCACTTTATCATTTAAATTAAGCACATTAATGCTTACTTTGCTTTCTGGGCACCATTTGCTTGGAGGCAGGTTTTCACACAATTTACAGCAGGAAAATACTCAGCAGATCACACAGTTTAAATACAGCTGATACACTGTTCACAATAGCTAGGATATGGAAACAACCCAGATGCCCTACTGCAGATGAATGAATCCAAAAATTGTGGTATCTGTATGTAATGGAATTTTATGCAGCCATTAGAAAGGACAAAATAATGGCATTCACAGGGAAATGGGTGGAACTAGAAGAAATCATGTTGAGTGAGGTAAACCAAGACAAAGACAAACAGCACATGGTCTCCCTGATAAATGGATATTAAATCCAAAATGTAAGGTGATAGGACAAAGTAAACAAGACTCAAGAAACAAAGGAACTCCATTCATCTGGTCGAATCATTAGTAAATAAACCCATGCTGCAGATCACATATATGCATTTCAGAAGGAAACTAGGAGGACAGAGCTAGAGTGAAACGGGAAAACATACAACAGTGGACATCAGCTATACTGGACATTGATCAGAATGAATTAAGCAACTCAATGGCAGTGATGGGAGGGAGGGAATGAGTGGGAAAGAGGGAACAGCTGACACTAAGCAAAAGGAAAGGAATATACCTATCACCCAATGTGGAAGAAATAACTGTATTGTCAAAGCTCATAGAACTCATAAACTTCATAGACCACGATAGACAGTTTGCCCCATGAAGGTTAGAATGTGTTTGTGACTTTAACTAAGTATTACTATGTAATCACTTAATCACAATAAAGAATTTGCGGGCTGGGAAGGTGTCTCAGTGGAGAGTGCTTGCTTGCATGCATGCATGAGGCCCTGGGTTCAATTCCTCAGCACCACATAAGCAGAAAAAAAAAAAAAGCCAGAATTAGCGCTGTGGTTCAAGTGGTAGAGCGCTAGCCTTGAGCCGAAGAGCTGAGGGACAGCGCCCAGGACCAGACCAAAAAAAAATTAAAAAAAAAGAATTTGCAAAAATGAATAAATACAGCTGATAATAGTGGAGGGCAGACAAAACTTTGCATCATCTCATCTGTGTAATACACACACAAGAGTTTAAAATTTGGGGTTTTGACATTTCTTTTGATTTTTTTATGTTTTTGGTACCAGTCTGGACCTAGACACTGTTTCTGAGCTTTTTTTTTTTTTTTTTGGGTCCGGTCATGGGGCCTGAACTCTGGGCCTGGGCGCTTTACCACTTTACCACTTGAGCCATAGCTCTACTTCTGACTTATTTATTTGTGGTTAATTGGAGATTAATTACAGAGTCTCGTGAATCACACTTTATATTTCAACCTCCTAAGTAGAGCTAGCTATGATTACTGGTGTGAGCCATTGGCACCTGGCTCTTTTGTTTCTTTTTTTCTTTTGAACATGCTTGGTCAAACCAGTGTAATTCATGAATAAAATGGTCTTACTGTATAAAACTATTTCCATTTAATTCCTATAGAAAGGAATTTATTCAGAGGATGATGGAGTAGAAGACTAGTCAGAATATCTAGATGTTTAAATAATACATATTTCAGAGATTTAAAATTTAAACAATAATTTATTTGTTTATTTATTGGTCAGTTGTAAGGCTTGATCTCTGGGCTTGGGCACTGACCCTGTGCTCTTCAGCTCAAGACAAGCACTCTACCACTTGCGCCACAGCGCTGCTTCCAGTTTTCTAGTAGTTCATTGGAGATAAGTGTCTCACAGACTTTCCTACCTGGGCTGGCTTTGAACCACAATCCTCAGATCTCAGCCTTCTGAGAAGCTAGCCATGAGCCACCAGCAAACAATTGCAAAGTTTCTAAGAATGTAGATTTTTGGATAATAGCCAAGTCAAATTGTACTTACTGGGCTGGGAAGGTGGCTCAGTGGTAGAGTGCTTGCCTTGCATGCTTGAGGCCCTGGGTTCGATTCCTCAGCACCACATAAGCAAAAAGAAAAAAGCCGGAATGGCGCTGTGGGTCAATTGGTAGAGCGCTAGCCGAGCTGAAGAGCTGAGGGACAGCGCCCAGGCCCAGAGTTCAGGCCCCATGACCAGACCCTCCCCCCCCCCAAAAAAAAAAATTGTACTTACTGTAAATGACCAAAAGAAATGACACCGGATGTTCTTAGCTGATTTGAGCTGCAGAGAATGGTTATAACTGACCACAGAAGGCCTGGAGAAGCTCCAATGTAGTTCAATTGAGGAGAGAAGGATTTAGCTGTGGCTTGAGTCACATGATAGGCATGTGGGCATGATAGGCACTGTATTTATTAACCACATTATTAATCACATTAAGTTTTGTCTTTATCTTCTCTATTTAGTTTTTGCTGTGCTAGGTATCAAATCTAGGGCCTAGACAAGCACTTCTTACTGAATTACATCCCTAAGCCGTTTTTCTTCTTTTCTTTCTTTCGTTTTTTTTTTTTTGAGAGGCGGGGGTGTGGGAGGATGCCAGTCCTAGGATTTGAACTCAAGACTTGAGCATTGTTCCTGAGCTTTTGTGTGCAAGGCTAGCGCTCTGCCACTTGAGCCACAGCTCTACTTAGGCTTGTTGGTAATTAATTGGAGAGCTCTCAGCCTCCTGACTAGCTAGGATTACAGGTATAAGCCACTGGTGCCCAAATATTTGTTTCATTTTTAACTGCTATGAGGAGATACCTAGACTTTTGCCAGTTTGGGGAACATTTACTGTTCTATTTTGAAGTAAAAGAATTTCCTGCTGGATGTAGCATATACTTGTAATTTCAGCACTCTGGAGGCTAAGGCAGGAGCACATTGTGAGACTCTTGTTTCACAACGAAAAGGGAAAAAGAAAGAAAAAAAGATACCTTCCTTAAGGAACATTCAGAAAGTTTTGCTGAAATGCAGCAAGTTTTCTTTCACACTAGTTAGCCATTGACCATAATACATTCAGAAATCTTTTCTTTGTACCTCTTACAAATGCTTGGATGGAGCTCTGAGAGAGCAGGACTTCATAGGAGGAATGTCTAGATCAGGAGGAACTGGTGAGAATAGAGGATTTTTCAGGTCCCTTTGTTCTATTTTGGTCAGGTAATCCATTAAGTCTAAAGAAAGCATATAAGTATGTAACTTTCTCAATGATCAAACATGCCTTTTTTCCCCTTCTCTTTACGTTTCAGGTAATGTTTGAAACTTACCAGTTTTCTGGTGTGTATGTAGCCATCCAGGCAGTTCTGACTTTGTATGCCCAAGGTAGGTAAAACTTACGTGTTAGAAAATGTAATTTAGGGGCTGGGAAGGTGGCTCAGTGGTAGAGCGCTTGCCTTGCATGCCTGAGGCCCTGGGTTCGATTCCTCAGCACCACATAAGCAAAAAGAAAAAAGCCAGAGTGGCGCTGTGGCTCAAGTGGTAGAGCGCTAGCCTTGAGCTGAAGAGCTGAGGGACAGCGCCCAGGCCGAGTTCAGGCCCCGCAACTAGACCCAAAAAAAAAAAAAAAACCAAAATAAAAATATGTAATTTAGCAGTTGATTTTTCATTAAGCTACAAATCTGAGAACCACACTGAAATTTTTCATCATTTCTGTCATTTGTGAAATAAAACATCATATACATCTTCATTTGCTTTACTAAACAGGGAAAATTTAAGAGACATCATAGCCCAGGTATATTGGCTTCATGCTAATCCTAGCTACTTGGGAGCTGAGATCAGGCAAGATTGTGAGTCAAGGCCAAACTGGGCCAAAAGTTTTCCAGACCCCATCTCAACCAAGAAAAAGCTGGTGCACACCTGTTACCCCAGCTACACAGGAAGCAGAAATAGGAGAGTTTCAGGTCAGCCTTGAAGGGGAGGAGAAATAAGACCCTATTTGAAAATATAACCTAAAAGGGCTTGGAGTCTGGCACAAGAGGTATAGGGTACCTATGTGGAAAGTGTGAGGCTCCAGGTTCAAACAGTTGTACTACAAACAGACATCGTTAAAATAGGATTGCCTTTGCATTAACATATGGCTCAAGTAATAGAGCACCTTCTCAGCAAGCTTGGACCCTACATTCAAACTAGTACTTAAATAATTAGATTGTGTTCTCTTAATCTCTTTAAACTTTTTGTGCATAAATGATGAGCATGGAATTTGTCCTCCAAATTGGTTTGAGTTTAAAATTATTAGTCAAAAAAGATTAGCATAAAGTCATGCTGGGTCAAATATACAATAGATTGAGTAAAGGGGAGAAGATAGACATTCTGAAGTACATTCCAGTTTTTTGAGGTAGATTTAATGTTCTCTTGGTATTTCTATTATCAGCTGCCTCCCTTATTGGGAATAAGACAGTGGCCATGTAGGGAGAGCTCTTTATATTGAATGGTCTAATAAATTCAACAAAAACTTATTAAAAACCTGTGGGATTTCCAAATATGTACCAAAGAGACTTTTAGGCATTTTAATAAACTTATGGCTGCATGTGCCACTTGCTAGAAAGATGTAAAGCAAGAGGCTAGTAGTTGAAGACCAATTGGAACAAAAAAAAATGTTAATGAGACCCCATGTCAGTAAATAAGCTGGGCAGTGAGGGCATTAGCATGTAATCCCAGCTATGTGGAAGCATTGGTAGGAGGATCACAATCTGATGCCATCCCTAGCATAAACATAAGACCCTATCTCAAAAATAAAGCAAATAAAGGCTGGGAGTGTGGCTCAAGCAGTAGAGTGCCTGACTACCAAACTCAAAACCATGAGTTCAAACTTGTTACCACTACACCCATTCCTCAAAAAAAAAAAAAGAACTGTAAGTAAATAATAAAGAAACTCTTGCTTCTAGACCTTTCCATTTAGTAATAGTTTGGCATCTGTACTATATTTGAAACTTGATAGCTTTCATTTTTCTGGTTTGGTGTTTTATGTAACACTTTTTGATTCCTACACAGGTTTGCTGACAGGTGTAGTAGTGGACTCTGGAGATGGTGTAACTCACATTTGCCCAGTGTATGAAGGCTTTTCTCTTCCTCATCTTACCAGGAGACTGGATATTGCTGGGAGGGATATTACCAGATATCTTATCAAGGTAAATGAAAATATTATAGAAACTAATTTTTTATAGTTTGTGTTCTAACTTAACACAAAATTGAATGTATAAAGATTCTAGCAAATCTATATCTCTAGAGAATTTGCCCAGTTTCCCATTCATGTAAAAATTTATACAAGAGCTAGGCACCAGTGACTCACTACTCAAGAGGCTGAGATCTGAAGATCACAATTCAAAGCTAATCCAAGCAGTAAGTCTATGAGACTCTTAGCTCCAATTTATCACCAAAAAGCTGGAAGTGGAATTGTGCTTCGCTTCAAGTGTTAAGAGTGCTAGCTTTAAGTACCAAAGCTTAGGGACAGTGCCCAGACCCTAAGTTCAAGCCCCAAGACCAGCACAAACACACACATAATCTATGTAGTTTCCACACATGTTTCTGCTGATAAACACGCACTGTTTCTTGCTATTAATATACATTCAGTTAGATTACATTAAATCTTTACTGTAAGATTGAGTTCCTTGATTGATCTCCTTTAGAGTAATCCTTTTTTTTTTTTTGTCGGTTGTGGGGCTTGAACTCTGGGCCTGGGCGCTGTCCCTCAGCTCTTCAGCTCAAGGGGAGCGCTCTACCACTTGAGCTACAGTGCCACTTCCGGTTTTCTGGTGGTTTATTGGAGATAGGAGTCTCACGGTCTCTCCTGCCCGGGCTGGCTTTGAACCGCGATCCTCAGATCTCAGCCTCCTGAGTAGATAGGATTACAGGCGTGAGCCACCGGCGCCTGGCTAGAGTAATCCTTCTTATGTAGGGAGATAAGTTAAAAAGAATCATAGTACTATTATTCCACATCAAAATTCTGTATGAGATGAACAACAGTTTCCAGGGATAGTGGGGGTCTTTTGAACAGAAACACAAGATTAGGGGATTTCTTTTATATATATATAAAGAAATTCTTGTGTTTAGTATGCAACATGTATGTAGTTTAAAACTAAAAATAGACAGCGATGGTTATTGGTGTCAGCTTATGGACACCAGTGAAATTATAATGCTTATCTTAGTATGTTATTTTTCTTAGCAGGTTATTTTAAGTAATTTTTTTCTGTTTTATTGTTACTTTGTTTTGTTTTTGTTTTTTGTGATGCTAATTGAACCTATCCATGGCCTTTGTACGATAACATTACCACTTAAGCTACACCTCTATAACCCCAGCTAATATTTTCTGTCATTAACAAAAACATAATGCCTGTAATCCTAGCTACTCAAGAGGCTGAGATCTGAGATTACTGTTCAAATCCAGTTTATGCAGGAAAGTGTGTAAGACTTTTATCTTCACTTAACTACCAAAAAGCCGGAAGTGGAGCTGTGGTTCAAATGTGCTAACCTAGGGATAGACAAGGGATAGTGCCCAGCTTTTGAGTTCAACCCTCAGTACTGACACACACACACAACTCCATTCCCCCCCCCCCCCCCCAAAAAAAAGAATAAAGGTGAAATACAGACTAGAGGTTATTCATTCATTTATCTCAGAATTATGTGTGTAGCTTTGAACTCAGGGCCTCATTAGGCAGATGCTCTACCACCTGAGCTGTACCCCCCAACCTTTTTTGATTTGTTGTCTTTTGAATTAAGCCTTAGCTCTTTTTGGCCTGAACTATGCCCCTCTTATTTATGCCTATCATAACTGGAGTCACAGACAAACTCAAACTGTGATCCTCCTAATCTCAGATCTCAGCCTCCCAAGTAGCTAGGATTATAGGCATGAGCCACTGTATCTAGCTTCAATCATTCTTTTATTTGCTTTAACAAAATCTCTTAGCCTTCTATTATGTACCAGGCATAGTATAAGAAGTTAAAGACAACCTTCTAAGACTTAGAAGTAGACTTAGTAGTTCATAAATATGGCATTGATTGAATGAGAAAATTGCAGGCTGTGTAAGCCCAATATCTACATAGTACTTATTAATATACTGATTGTTTATTGTTTACATTGTTTATATATCGTTGTTTATATACATTAGTATATTAACAATATTTTTTAACTGGCCTTTTCTAGCTTATTTTATGCATTTAATCTTTGTAAAATAAAATACAAATTATTTCATGGCAGATAAAAAAGCCACTTGGCGATATTTCATAGAAACTAAGGATACACTGTACATTGTTATCCACATAGCATTTGTACAGTGGAACTCATCCAAATCTGTTATGAACTTACTGTTGTTTTGTATGTGTATGCCAGCTGCTTCTGTTGCGAGGCTATGCATTCAACCATTCTGCTGATTTTGAAACGGTTCGCATGATTAAAGAAAAACTGTGTTATGTGGGATACAATATTGAACAAGAACAGAAACTGGCCTTAGAAACTACAGTATTAGTTGAATCTTACACAGTAAGTATATTCATATATGTATGTATGTATGTATAGTTTAAAAATAGTAGCCAAGATTATTGGTGTCAACTGAAGAAAACCAAGGGTTTTTGTTTCGTTGGTGCTGGCGAGTAAACCTGGTGCCTTGTGCCTGCTAGGCAAACAATGCCACTGAGCTATATCCCTAGCTGTTGAATTAGGATTTTTATGTGTGTGACTTTCAAATATCTCTCTCTATATTATGATGTAATTATTTCAGGACACCATGTAATGTAAATTAAGGCAAGAATTGTAAGTGCCTTCTTACCTTAGGAAATAATTAGATATGAGATGTTGTTTTGAGATAATACTATCGTGGATAGCATTTTTCAACATGTTAGAGTGTCACTTCCTTGCGATGTTAAGAATGCTCACAAAGTTAAAAATGTACAATTCTCAAATAAAGGAGACAGTTGATTTTACTTTCCTTTAAGATCTCTCAAATCCTTTGGTATGCTAAATGTACTCAACTGTGAGACTATAGAAATTTTCTACGTTATATTCATGTAGATAATGGTCTAAGAAATGTTCTTTAGTCTTTATGAGCTGTCGATGGTGGCCACCATTTTATGGTGAGGTAGCAGATTTTCTGTAGGTCTCCAGAAGTTCATCAGCCTGTCTGATCTAAGGCAGTGACATTACCAGCACCAGCTACAACTCAGCCATCCAGCCCTGCCACCACTACCATAATTAGTTCTTCCACAACAGTGGTAGCCACAACCTCTGACCCTGGTTTGGCTCCCACTTCCGTACCTGCTAGAGCAACTCAGCCCTGCTCTAGCAACTCAACAAGAGAAACCTGTAGAAAATCCAGAAGACATCAGTAGCTACTAGCCCAGCATTAGGTAATGGAACATGAGAAGATTCTTCTCCATCAAATCTTTTTTTTTTTTGTCGGTAGTGGGGCCTGAACTCTGGGCCTGAGCACTGTCCCCCAGCTCTTCAGCTCAAGGCTAGTGCTCTACCACTTCAGCCACAGCACCACTTCCGACTTTTTCTGTTTATGTGGTACTAAGGAGTCAGACCCAGAGCCTCATGCATGCAAGGCAAGCACTCTACCACTGAGCCACCTTCCCAGCCCCCATCAAATCTTTTTAAAGAAGTGACAGGTCTATCTTAGGATAATATGCTCAAATCATTAGTGGTCTGTGAACAAGAGCAAGTCATTGTAGGCCTAAAAGCCAGTTTTGACAACCATGACAAAGCAGGCAGGAATCTCTGGAGATAGGAAATCAGACTATGGTTGACCTCCTAAGCAGCCAGAACTGGGCTCCTCAATCTTCACAATTATTAGTGTTATACTGTTTTCAAGAAGAAAGGGTAGAAAGAGCTGTAATACAGTTGTTTTGTGTTGCTTTGTTGTCACTTGTGCTTGAACTAGGGGTCTGGGCACTGTCCCTGAGCCCTTTTTGCTCAGGGTTAGCACCATTTTGAGGCACAGTGCACCACTTCGGGTTTTCTGGTGGTTTATTGGAGATACAAGTCTCACAGACTTCCCTGTCCAGGTAGATTTTGAACCATGGTCCTCAGATCTCAGGCTCCCAAGTAGCTAGGGGGTGTGAGCCACCAGCACCTGATTAAAAAAAAAAATCTTAATAGCCATGTTTTTTTATTTGGATTTTTCACCTCAGTTTTTTCTTTCAAATTCAAGAATTGGCATTGTTATTTAATCATTAGAGGGCTAGATGTCTACTTGTTCAGTTTGTCAAATCTGTTTTCCTAAATATAAACATGACTAAAACAATATTTTTTTTCTGCCATCTGGTACTAAGAAGATGAATATGTACAGATTTTCCTGGTATGATCTCCTGCAATATCCTTGGCACAGTTTGATGATGACTCCTAAGCTTTTTTCATCCTGCATTCATAACCTGTCTGCAATGAAAATAAAAATGTGATTTTCTTTCACAGTGTGCCATCTCTAATTTCCCTTTGTTTAGTCTATAAACAGGATAGGTATTTGGCCTTTGTATAACCTATATATTTTATAATAGATTACATATAACATCTCAGGAGAATAAAATGAGGATTTTTAAAATGCATTCATCTTTTAAGAGAGCAATGAGTTGGGAGGATGAGCTGCATTTCAGATTGAAAAATGGAATCTTATTTATTACATTCTTCTTACTACCTTATTGCTCAAAATGCAGTACAAAACTGGAAAGAGTTTTAAAAAATAGAGGAAAATAGCAGTTGCTTCTTAGGATGGCAGCAGCAGAGGTTGGTAGCATGTTGTCCTTGGACAGCAAAACTACACATAGTAGGATTGATAATTATTGGATAACTATAGAGTTAAAAAATAATTACAATAATCAATTATAAAATATTTCCAGTATATCCAAAGAAAGAAAAAAGAATCTTACTTTGAGAAGCAGGTACATTTAGAGTGTTGCTTTATGAATTAACTGGCAGTCTTTTCTTAATAAAGTGTGCAAAACAAATGTTCAACTTAAAATTAGACAATAGCACCTATCATAGCTTACAATATGGAGTTTGATCCTACCTCGGTTTGTTTTTCTCTTGACAATATTGGGGTTCATACTTAAAGCCTTGTAGTTGCCCAGTGCTTTTACTACTTCAGTCACGCCCTTATACTTTTTTTGTTTTAGTTATTTTTCAGATAGGATCTTGCGTTTTTGCTCAGGGTTGGCCTTGAGCCATAATTCTCCTACCTATAGCCTCTTGTAGCTGATATAACAGGTAACGTAGTGTACCAGTATGTTCAGCTTTTTAGTTGAAATGTGGTCTCATTAACTTTTCTTCGGCCTAAGCTTTTCTTGAAGTGCAATCCTTCTGATCTTTGCCTCTATAGTAGCTACCTGAAAATTGTTTGTATTTATGTATTTCGCACTGTTAAGATTTGAACTCGGCCTCACACTGGCTAAACAACACATAGCTATAGTCCCAGCTACTCTGGAGGCAGAAGCAATAGGATCATTTGAGCCCAGGGCCAGCATCGGTAGTATAACAAGAGCTTGTCTCTTAAAAAAATAAAAAATAGCCCAACCCTGGTGGCTCATGCCCATAATCTCAGGAGGCTGAGATCTGAGGATCATGGTTCAAATCCAGCTCAGGCAGGAAAGTCCATGAGACTCTTATCTCCAATTAAGCACCAGAAAACCAGAAGTGGCACTGTGACTCAAGTGGTAGAGTACTTGCCTTTAGCTGAAGAGCTCAGGGACAGCACCCAGGCCCAGAGTTCAAGCCCTATGTCCAATTTAATTAATTAAGAAATTAAGATATAAGCCATGTTCCAGTGGTTCACATCTGCCATCCTAGCTACTCCAGAGGCTGGGACCTGAGGGTTGTAGTTTGAAGCCATCTCCAATTAACCACCAAAAAGCCAGTAGTATAGCTGTAGCTCAAGAGGTAGATTGCTCACTTGGAGCACAAAAGCTCAGGGATAGTATCTAGGCCCTGAGTTCAAGCCCCAGGACTGGTACAAAAAGAAAAGAAAACAAGAAAGAGAGGGGGAGAGGGGAGAAGGAATAGAAAGAGAAAAAGTCAATATAGCATATAAAAAGCTAATTTTGATGCTTTTGAAAAATGTGGTTCCTTTGCATATATCCATAAGGAATAAATTATAGTATGTTAGAAATATATTCTTATTTATAACTCAGTATACTGTTATAAATGTTCATGTGAAAGTAATTCTGCTATCGAGTATGTTAAGTGCCACTGTACATTAGCATGCTTAGTGCTTGAGTCAACCCAGCAAACTATGAGGTAGTATAAGAGAGTTTCCACTTAACATCACTTATAATTAAATATATGTAATTAATATGTAATATGTAATGTATAATACATAAATATGATATGATTTGAGAGTTTTCCATATAGGTCTTGTTGTTATAATGCTAGAACTGTTATTTAAATCTTACTGTCTGAAATTTATATTTAGCAATTATATAATGTTTTAGTACCTAGCAATTATTTGTAATGTATTAATATCTAGAAGAATATAAACTTTTTTTTTTTTGAGATAATCTTGCTATGAGGCCCAAGTTGGCCTCAAACTCAAGATCCACTTATTTCAGGTTCCTGAGTGCAGGGAATACGGGAATGTTTTAGCCACCGGTGCCGGGCTAGAACAGATGTGTTTAAAAGTACTAATATAACTGGATGCTGGTGGCTCATGCCTGTAATCCTAGCTAAACAGGAGGTTGAGATCTGAGGATCAGGGTTCAAAGCCAGCTTGGGCAGGAAAGTCTATGAAAATCTTATCTCCAATTAACCACCAGAAAACCAGAAGTGGAGCTGTGGATCAAAGTGATAGAGTGCTAGCCTTGAGCAAAAGAGTTCAGGGACAGCGCCCAGGCCCTGAGTTCAAGCCCAATGACCAACCAAAAAAAAAGGTGCTAATGTTTAGTGAACACTGGGAAATTTTGCTCTTTTGCTGACTAGTTCTTGATTACTTTTCATGTCTAGCTTCCAGATGGACGCATTATTAAAGTTGGAGGAGAGAGATTTGAAGCACCAGAAGCTTTATTTCAGCCTCATTTGATCAATGTTGAGGGAGTTGGTGTTGCTGAATTGCTTTTTAACACAATCCAGGCGGCTGACATTGACACCAGGTACATTAGAAATGGTGCTTATTTGTCAAAAGTAAATGGAATATGTGTAGTTAGAATGAACAAGTTGTTTATTACTTGTGTTTTTGATAAGGATGGTCCTAGATATTGAAAAATATATGAAATCATTGTAGGCCAGAAGACTTTTTTCTTTTTGAATGAGTGTACATATATAATGTAAGAGGGTTTCATTGTGATATGTATATATGTGTGTACGTATAACACATTTCAATTCTCTTTCCCTCTCAATCTCCCTGCCTTTTTCCTGCCCTCCTCTTGCTGGTCCCCTTCTAAACAAGTGCCCTTTACACTCATGAATCATTCCCATTACTGTTTTCATCCATTTTCCTATAGATGACATATTTCTTTTTTTTTGTTGTTGTTGTTGGTCATGGGGCTTGAACTCTGGGCCTGGGCGCTGTCCTTGTGCTCTTCAGCTTGAGCTACAGTGCCACTTCTGGTTTTCTAGTGGTTTATTGGAGATAAGAATCTCATGGACTTTTCCTGCCAGGGCTGACTTTGAACCGTGATCCTCAGATCTCAGCCTCCTGAGTAGCTAGAATTACAGGCGTGAGCCACCAGCACCGGGCACATAATTTCTTTTCTTTTATGACTGAATAATAGTTCATGGTGTGTATGTGAAGGGATATTGTCTGCAATAAACATGGATGTATAAACATCTTCTCTAGTATATTGATTTACTGTCCTTTGATGTGTGCCCAAGAGTGGTACGATGGGATTATAAGCAAGTTTTGACATTTTTACAACACAAGTTAGATTCAGTACCCCTGTATAGAGCTTGCATAGGAAAATGTCACAACTCAGATTGCTTTGTTTTGCATGCTGTGTGCTAATCACATTTTCACCTGCATAGCTCATGCTACCTTTGCAGTGCACATTTCCACAAAAAAAAAACAAAAAACAGTGTTGTTCTAGAAGGTAAGAGTTGCAGTAGAGTTAGCAATAGAGAACTTGGATGAAGAAATTAGTTTGAATAAGCTTGAAATGACTGTGTCCAGAACGTTGCTATGAGTTCTTCAGACCTCTGCACAGATTCTGTTGCTTTTACTGCATGTGCAACTATTAGAGGTTTGACTTTCTGATGTCACAGCCAGTAACATGTAAGGAAGAAAGAAGGGACTGCTAGAGCAGCAAACATCATTCTAGCCAGAAATAACAGTAGCCAGCCTCAATCACAAGGAACAAGAGAACACTACAAAAGACAAATGAAAAAAATTGAAAAGTAGTAGTAACTCAAAGTAGAATATGGATACTTATAGTAAATAAACACATGTGAGGCTTTAGGGAAGCTCTGTGGTAACATAGTCAAATACTGGAGAATTAGAACATTAACCTTTGTCATTATCAAGACTCATAAATTACATTTGCAAGAAACCTTTGTTCTTTTAGATGTATTCTAATCAAATTATTAAAGATTTTATATGTAAAATGGAGTTGCATCCAACAATAGTAGTAACAGTAAACATTAGCCCTGTGATACACAGATGAGTTTAATTCTCCTAGCCATCATCTGAAGTTGCTGTAACAATAAATCTAGCACCAGATGAGGGAGGCTGAGGCAAGAGGGTCACTTTAGTCCAAGAGTTTGAGGCCACTGGGGCAATGTACGAATTCCTTTATTTATTTGTTAGTTTGCTTATTTTTGAGGCAGGATCTTACTCTCTAGCCATGGCTGGCCTAGAACTTTGTGATCTTCCTGCCTCAGCCTCTTGATTGCTAGTGTTACAGACCTGCACCATCATGCTTAGCCAAAACAAATGGCTTTAAAAAAAAAAAAAGTATACCTTGAAATACTCTTTTCCTCACCTGAAACCCCAAATGAATACCACTGTATCTTCCTAGATCTGAATTCTATAAGCACATAGTGCTTTCTGGAGGATCTACTATGTATCCTGGTTTGCCATCACGCTTGGAGCGAGAACTCAAACAACTTTACTTAGAACGAGTTTTAAAGGGAGATGTGGAAAAACTTTCTGTAAGTATCAACAACCCAGATAGATATTAACATTCTTTCAAAACCCAGTAAAGGTGCTATGAATGGTCACAACCACCAGAGGGAGCAAGAAGTCTTCTAAACAGTTCCTGCTGCAGTTAAGTACCACCTACAAGAAATGGGGAAGAAAGATGGTATGTTCAGGTCACCTCTGTAAATAGGTGACTAGGCACATTTGTAAAGATCAGCCCATACCCCAAGGTTCCTCCCAGTGTCTAGGAGGAGCTTGCTATATATGGAGAGGGAAATACCCCACTTTGGGGTGCTTTTTCCCTTTGTTGTTGGTACATGCCAGTTGTGGGCCTTGAACTCAGAGTGTAGGCAGTGTTCCTGAGCTTTTTTGGTCAAGGCTAAGTGCTCTACTATTTGAGCCACAGCTTCACTTCTGGCTTTTTGGTGGTTAGTTAGAGTCTCATAGACTTTCCTACCCTGGCTGGCTTGAAACCATGATCCTCAGATCTCAACCTCCTGAGTAGCAAGAATTACAGGTGTAAGCCACTAGTACCTGACTTGTTCTTAACTTCTTTGTTGTTGTTGTTGTTGTTGTTGTTGGCTGTTGAGCTCTGGGCCTGGGGGCTGAACTCTTCAGCTCATAGCAAGCACTGTACCACTTCTGGTTTTCTGGTGGCTAATTGGAGATAAGAGTCTCAGGGATATGTAATCAACATAGTTAGTCTGTATCATGATTGTAATTTTCAATTATTTTTCTGGGTATTTGTTACATACATCTTTGTCTCCCCAATCAAGTCTCCAGATCTTTTGTATATCACTAACTATAATAGCTATTGAAATAGGCCTTGTAAATTGATACATGCAAGTGAAAGTCACAAACTAAAATAAAATCATTAGTGATTTGTTCAGCACACCTCTCCCTCAACTCTGGATTCTGAAGTATGTTGTGTGTGCTATATACTCAGTCAAGAAGTCATTTAATCTTGGGTTAATCTTGACCTTTATTTCCCTGTCTTTAGTCAACTATTCTAGGTAATGAGATTACATATTATAGAGTACTATCTGTTTTGGAGACACTAATGTTACATCTTTCATATATGACTCAAATTGTTAAAATTAAATTGAATATGGGCTCACATACATTAACTAACTTAAAAGAACGGTGGAAAGGAGCCATGTTGTCTAAGCACTTTATTCATTTTTCTCATTTTATTGGATTATACGTATAATGTAAAATTATCTCAGGTGATCATTTTTCAGCAAACAGTTCCTTTTTTATTTTTTTTTCTTTGTCATGTTAAAAATTGAACCTAGTGCCTTGTGCATAATGGACAAACCCTCTACCACTTAGACTAGTGTTGTAAAGAGTTCTTGAATTCCATCCAGGTTTGTTTAACAGTGGTTAAACAAAATAGTATTAGGTAAACAAAAATCCTCACTTTCGGGCTAGAAAATTTACCAGTAGGAATAAATGTTTCAAAGAAAAGTGAAGTGAGGTTAGGTAAGAGCTATAAAATGGTAGAGGCTTGCCAGGAATATGTTGCTTTACCTTTGAAATCAATCAGGAAAGGCTTTGATGAGATGGTTTGATCTGAGAACTGCAACAATGGAAGTAGGAGTGAGCATGTGACTTTTTGCAGGCAGGAACAGCAAAATCCCTGAGTTGGTGGGAGTGTTGGTGGGAGCCAAGTGAGCCCGGGAGAGAGGCAGGAGGTGAGGCCAGGAGGGTGAGAGAGTCTTGTTCAGTTAGGGTAAGATGGCAAGTCTTGGGGAGTTTTGAACAGACAAACAGTAGCTTCTGACTTACCCTTTTAAAAGAGTAAGTAAGTCTAGGATGGCAAACGATCCCTGTGTGAGGAGAGAACAAAGGTTTCAAAACAGAGGACGTTGAAATCATTTTTTAGAGAAAGGAGAAGCTAATGAGAAAATGTAATAGTATTAGCCAAACAAAACTGAAGGCTCAACTGAAGCTAGTGATGATTTTTTTAATCTTTTTTTTTTTTTTGGGGGTCCGGTTGTGGGGCCTGAACTCTGGGCCTGGGCGCCGTCCCTCAGCTCTTCAGCTCAAGGCTAGCATTCTACCACTTGAGCCATAGTGCCACTTCCAGCTTTTTTCTTTTTGCTTATGTGGTACTGAGGAATCGAACACAGGGCCTCAAGCATGCAGAAGGCAAGCGTTCTACCACTGAGCTACCTTCCCAGCCCCAGTCATTTATTTTTTTATTTAAGTGGTTGTACAAAGGGTTTTTATTCAACCTGTCAATGTATGGACACAGTGCATCATAGTGGTAAGTTGAAAAGCAGGCAGTTGAGTTTCCTTCCTGCCTTGTTCAGCTGCTTGAAGAACAGCTACAAAGTAGTCGATTCTCCAAGTTGGTATGACTCTGGTCCCAACAGAGTCACAGAGTTTTGTCAGATGTTCAACACATTCATGTTCAAACCAAAATAGGTATGAGAAGAAATGAGCTGGGGCTAGGAAGGTGGCTCAGTGGTAGAGCACTTGCCTTGCATGCCTGAGGCCCTGGGTTCGATTCCTCAGCACCACATAAGAAAAAAGCCGGAAGTGGCGCTGTGGCTCAAGTGGTAGAGCGCTAGCCTTGAGCTGAAGAGTTGAAGGACGGCGCCCAGGCCCAGAGTTCAGGCCCCCCAACCAGACCCAAAAAAAAAAAAAAAAAGAAGAAGAAGAAATGAGCTCTAGATCTGTAGATGTTGTCAGGGATCCATAGGTGACTTCCAAAGGAAGAACAGTGAATAGATAAGAATGAGTTTCCAAGGCCAGGCACTGGTGGCTCATACCTGTAATCCTAGCTTCTCAAGAGGCTGAGATATGAGGATGAGGTTCAAAGCCAGCTCAGGCAGGAAAGTCCAATTAACTACCAAGAAGCTGGAAGTGGAGCTATGGCTCAAGTAGTAGAGTGTTAGCCCTGAGTAAAAATAGCTCAGAGACAGTGTCCAGTCCTTTAGTTCAAGCCCCAGTACCAGTACCAAAATATAAAAATAAAAAAGAGTTTCCAAGCACCAGAGTTTGTGAAGAAGAGGTAGAAAGGTAGAAACAGCACTGAAGAACAGAATCTCTGAACACACCTCCAAGTTATGAAGGAAGTGTATGAGACAGAATAAGAGCCCATTAAAAAAGCAACAGGGGCAGCACCATCTTCAAGAGTTCTTTCCCTTAGAGCAAAAGTAGGTATATATTTTATTGGGATAAGGTTACTGTCACAAATTATCTATGGCCATTTATAGCTACACATAAGTCTGTGAGGTTGCCAGAGATTCTAAAAGCTTTTCTGGCCCTTTAAAAGAAAAACATATCTGTAACCCCAGCACTTGGGAGGCGGAAGCAGGAAGATTGGAAGTTCATCCAGCATAGTATATGACTGAGACATTGTCTCTAAAAGAGAGAAAGAGAATGGTCTCAGTTTCAGAGTTGACTATTTTACTTACTAGTGAACTGGTGTCTTCCTACGGTTTATACATTTTCAGATAAATTTATGTAGCCTGAAGACAATTCAGAATGACCTAGCTACTTTGCATTCTTGGTTTTTTTCTAGGATTTGTGACATTAAATGAGACCTTCCAAATCATTTAAGGTTTCATTTTCAGGTGTTGACTAACCATACAGATTAATTAGAAAGGGAAATAGTAGTTACAGGTTGCTAAATGTTTTCCAATTGTCTTTTTTGTTGTTTTTGTTTTCTTGAGATAGTCTCATTATGTAGCCCAGGTTGGCTTAGAGTCCTTGATCCTCCTGCCTCAGATTCCCGAGTTCTAGGATTACAGGTGTACCCAACGTGCCCAGCCCTAATTGTCTTCAATTTTGATAACTGTGTTCAGTTTTTCCAAAATTCTCCTGACTTGTTTTGACCCTATTTGGCCTTATCTTGAAAACTTTTTACTTGGATTCAAGACGGTAGAAAATGAGCTTTGCTAATAAGAACTTCAGCCTGGAGTTGCGTAGCTCAGTAGTATACCATGTGGGTAGCATGCAGGAGGTCCCAGCACCAAAAAGAAAAGAAAAGCAGCTCCATATTAGTATGTTCCACCCAACTCGATCTTGAAGAAGCCAGGCCGGTACTCTTCTCCAAAGTTTAGTGTGTAAATAGGATGGGACAGCAGGCGTGAAATAGAACAGTTGTCTCCTTATGAGCTTGGAACACATTGCCATGTGATTGTTTACCTCATAGAGACATCTAATCCTGCTTCCCTACTTCTATCCCAAGTCAGCTCGGAGACCCAAAAGTATCTATGAAAACTTGCTTTTCCTGAGGAGACAGCACTGTGCACATGTGACATCTATCTTATCTTTCCTCCTTTAGAAATTTAAGATCCGAATTGAAGACCCACCTCGCAGAAAGCACATGGTGTTCCTGGGAGGTGCGGTCCTTGCAGATATCATGAAAGACAAAGACAACTTTTGGATGACCCGACAAGAGTACCAAGAGAAGGGCGTCCGTGTGCTGGAGAAGCTCGGTGTGACCGTTCGATAAACTGCACCACTCCGGATTCCCATCACATCTCTAAATGCTTTCTTTTTTCCTTTATTGCCAATCTTTGAACTCATTCAGCTCCAGGATGTGGAAGAAGCTTCTTGTGCCCTTTGACTTGAAAGGTCAAGTTTTATTCTGGGGTATTGGGAAAGCGTTGTTAACTTTTTTGTTAATGTGGGTAAATCTGGCTGTTTAATGCAACCAGAGGGCAAAGGGTCCTGTCTGGAGCTTTGTTTCTTCTCATAAGCATTTAGATCACTCCTGTAGACTTCCTATTTTCACTTTACTGCTCTAATGCTGCTAGTTTTAGTCTTTAGCCCTGTAGGTGGTATGCCTTTATTAGCATAAGAAAAACTTCGACCAGAGCTTTTACTATTACTGGTGGGGGGTGGGGGGTGGGCAACCCTGAACTCTTCAGGGCATTTTCTCTGTTGTGTGGCTTTCTACAGTTACAAACGCCAAGCTTCTCCTGTTAACATCTTAGGGAAATACTAAGTTCAGAACTAAAATGTTTTGGGTGGTTTTTTATGTGGTGGAAGGAATGGGTGGTCTTTTGATTGTGATTTTTTTGAGATTTTTTTTTTTCTCCACGGTACAGAAGATAAACCTTATTTACTGTACTTTGATTTGGCCGGTTTTATTTTGGTCTGCCGGGAACTATTTCCATATGATTAAAAAAAAAAGAAAGCCTAATGTTCTATTACCATGTTGCTAAGGGATTTATTTTTATTTATAAAATGGACCATATCAGCTGGAATTAGACTCTCTAGAATCTATCAATGGAAAAAGTAACATTTTAAAAAATGCTTTGTTAATTCAAATTACACGGGTTTTTTTAAGTGTGTAAAAACTGGTTATCTCTAAATGGTTTATTTATTTCATAAGCATTAAGGTAACCCAGTGCCAAGTATCATTCTTACAATATTTTCTATATGACTGACCAGTGCTTATTTAATAAAACAAAGAAATACATAATACATATAAACAATTACTGGTAGGTTTAAAAATTGTTGGGCTAAAAAACAATAGCATTGGAATAAAGTACTTGTTTCCAGTTAAGTAAAATTTGATGGCTTAAAATGTTGGCAAAAAAAGACAAGAATCAAGATTTAAATATTTATTTGTATTGGAAGCTGATAATTCTCAGTCCTCTTTTATGTTTTTGATTTTTTTGGGGGGATGGTCCATCGTGGGGCTTGAACTCTGGGCTTGGGCGCTGTCCCTGTGCTCTTCAGCTCAAGGCAAGTGCTCTATCGCTTGAGCCACAGCACCACTTCCGGTTTTCTAGTGGTTTATTGGAGATAAAGAGTCTCATGAACTTTCCTGCCTGGGCTGGCTTTGAACCGTGTTCCTCAGATCTCAGCCTCCTGAGTAGCTAGGATTACAGGCATGAGCGTCTTCTTTTATGGTTTTGAAAGGAGAGTAGTTAGAAGTTTGTAAATGTTAGTAGACTCTCCTGCCTATGTCAGTAATCCTACTTATAACTCCTGGCGGTATTGTTTGCATTCTGAAAAAATGACTTAATAGTATCCAAATGTGAGTTTCTTTCATATTTGAAAAATAATGAGAATTATATCTCACAAAATACAAAATGTTGATTCTGGGAAAACTATTCCTTCATTTCAGAATATTCTTTACCAATAATGGATTTGAAAGAAGTGGTTTTTAAGACTAAAAAAAGATAGATTGGCTTGAGTGTTTCTTTTTGGGGATAACTTAAAAATTAGTGCACACTATGTCAGCAGCAAAAGGTTAAAGTACGTAGCTTCTGTTAAGTGTTTTTGTCTATTTTACCTCAATTTGAACAAATAAAGTTTGTGCGCATGCTGGACATGCTTCAGTACACATGAATAGCCCATGACTAATGTCTACTGGATTCTGGATACAAGACTCAGGAACTTCAGAATTCTAACATATTACAAATCATGTCTCATAAAACCCCCACCTTTTGATTCCTAGGCTTCTTAAAGGACACATGTTATATGTAGACCAACCAATACCTACTGGACTGTTTAGTGCAGATAAATGAAATGACTTGGCAATTGATCATAATTTTAAAATATGAGGGTAGAAAACAACAAAGAATGAGATGGAATCTTAAAACACTGAAAACATTATTTGTACCTTGAATGTAGATTTTTTTGACATTAAAATGATGTATTTATATGTGTAATGATTTAGAAATTCCATTTTGTAGGTTTACCATTCGAAGGTAAAATAATGTGTTTGGGATTTGGGAGATATTGTATTCAGTTGGAGTTGTCAGACAGGAGTCACTCAGAAGTTTAAAAAAAATCAGTTTTTAAAAGAGATCTGGTTTTTAACTCTTGAAACCCATTGTTGCTTAGATTTTCCTGATGATTAAATTCTTTGGTTTAAATTAGAATCACCAATGCCGTGAAGGAGTTCTTAGAAAATGTGGTATTGGATACTAACTGCACAGTTCTGAGCACTGTATCTAGAAAGATCAATGGAAAGTAAAATATTCGAAATTTAACTCTGATAGACTTCTTTTTGATTCAGAAAATAAATCAGATTTTTTCAAAATAACTTTGGGTTTTGTCTTTGTTTTTCCTTTCATAGATGTTCTCTTTAATTGCATTTTCTTATTTTTACTCACATTTGGAGTTTTGCTAATGCAAGATGGATTTTGAAAACTTCGTTAGTAATAGGCCAAGTTCACTGTTCCATTGACAAACTTATTTCTGGTATGGTTCTCACACACATATGGAAGGTGGTAGAGATGAGAGTAACTTACCCTACATTAGAGATTTTTTTTTCCTTCCGGCAGACTATTTTGTTTCCCAGAGAGTACAGGTGGCTTTCAACAAAATCACTGAGCAGGGCTGGAAATGTGGCTGAGTGGTAGAGGGCTTCCTCAGCACCACATAAGCAGAAAAGGCTGGAAGTGGTGTTGCTGGAAGTGGTAGAGTGTTAACCTTGAGCTGAAGAGCTGAGGGACAGCACCCAGGCCCAGAGTTTAGGGCCCATGGCCAACAAGAACAACAAAAATCAGTGAGCAGGATGAGAATGTAGTTAACTGACCCTTTGTTGCTGGGGGGTTGGGGGAAGAGGAAATTAATTTTTGTTCTCCTTCATGAGCTTGAATACTTCATCCTCATTGTCCCTTCACGGCCAGTATCCCATCTAGATACCCCTAGGGTTCCCTTTGGTCTCAATTACCCTGTCACTACTGAATTACCTGAAGTATAATATGATAGCTACCTCCATTGAAGATGAGGAATTGTCATTGATGGAATGAGTGCCTCCGTACACTCATTCCACAAACTCCTCCCACAAACTGCTGAAAAAAATGAATGTGTTTATTATTAACTGCTGCTGCTTTTAGAAACATCAAGGAGGGTATCTCACTGGCCATGGTAGCACATGCCTATAATCCTAGCAATCAAGTCTACAGGAAGAGGAGTTCAAGGCTAGCCTAGGCTACATAGTGAGGCCTTGTCTCAAAAAAACAAACAAAAGGAGTACTCAACTGAAATAAGCCAGAAACAAGAATTGACCCTAGCTCAATATTTAACATGGTATCTAACTTTGAGCTAACTGGCTATTAGTAATACTAAGGTTTGTCTACAGTCACCAGTTTTTCTTTAGCTCTGACTCCTTGGTCTGTTCAAAAACAAAATAAGCCAGGCACCCGTGGCTCATACCTGTAATCCTGGCTACTCAGTAAACTCAGATCTGAGGATTGTGGTTCAAATCCAGTCTGGGCAGGAAAGTATGAGATTCTTTTTTTTTTTTTTTTTTGGGTCCGGTCGTGGGGTCTGAACTCTGGGCTTGGGTGCTGCCCCTCAGCTCTTCAGCTCAAGGCTAGCACTCTACCACTTGAGCCACAGCACCACTTCCGGCTTTTTTCTTTTTGCTTATGTGGTGCTGAGGAATCGAACCCAGGACCTCATGCATGCAAGGCAAGTGCTCTGCCACTGAGCCACCTTCCCAGCCCCAAGTATGAGATTCTTACCTCCAGTTTAGTCACCACCACCACCTCTCCCCCACCCCCAAAAGAAACAAAAAAATGGAAGTGGAGCTGTGGCTCAAGTGGTAAATCCTCAGCCTGGAGCAAAAGAAGCTCAAGGATAGTACCCAAGCCCTGAGTTCAAGCCCTAGGACTGGCAAAAAAAAATACACTGAAAATGTTACACACTGAAAATGTTACACCATAGGTACGTTTAAAGGTGAGGGGAAGGACCTCTGTGTAACTCCCTGTGAAAGCTAAATTAATGACTTGTAACCACACATCACATATAGCCAGTCACCAAATAGAAGCCAAAACTTCAGTTAGGGGAGAGAAAAGGAAGATAACTATTACAAAAATTTCAGTAATTATTAAGCCGAAAATTTTAAAGCATTTTTCTCTGCCTTGTTTAGCCTATGAAATTAGGAAGAAAGAAGCTACTGAGCCAGAATAAACTTACTTGGATTTAAATCATCTACATGGCAGTGACAAAGTCTGTACCTATTGTAAGTATGTCAGTTTGTTACCCTCAAATGTAAAATGTCTAACTAGATAAGGAGAATCCAAACAATTTCTCTCTTGGCACAACAGATTTCCTGTCTCTTTTATATCTACCCTCTCAACTCCCACCCAGCAGAGAAAAAAGAAAGACTAGAAAAGACTTTGCATACCATTTTCCATGAAATACTTGAATAAGAATAGAAGAATAAGGAATATTTAGCTATGCTTGTGTGAACAAATGGAAAGGTTTGGGCTTGGGACTTAAAGAGAATGTGGGAATGCATTAGAAGTAGTCCCACTGGACAGACTTTGAGAACTGCCCTTTGTCATCAACATCAAGTTGAGCTTTGACCTAATGAATACTTCCTTTAAGATAGTAAAGAATTATGAAAGCTGGGTGCCAGTGGCTCATGCCTGTAATCCTAGCTGCTCAGGAGGCTGAGATCTGAGGATTGCGGTTCAAAGCCAGCCCAGGCAAGAGACTCATCACCAGAAAACCAAAAGTGGCGCTGTGGCTCAAGTAGTAGAGCACTATCCTTCAGCTGAAGAGCTGAGGGACAGCACCCAGAGTTCAAGCCCTGTGACCAACAGGGGAAAAAAAAAATTACAGGGGCTGGAAATATGGATTAGTGGTAGAATGCTTACCTAGCATGCATGATGCCCTGGTTTCGATTCCTCAGTACCACATAAACATAAAAGGCCAGAAGTGGTGGTGTGGCTCAAGAGTACTAGCCTTGAGCAAAAGAAGCTCAGGAACTGTGCCCAGTCCCTGAGTTCAAGCTCCAGGACTGGCAAAAAATAACTATAAGAATTATGAGCTTTTCAGGCTGGGAAGGTGGCTCAGTGGTAGAGGCTTGCCTTGCATGCATGAGGCCCTGGGTTCGATTCCTCAGCACCACATTAGCAAAAGGAAAAAAGCTGGAAGTGGCGCTGTGGCTCAAGTGGTAGAGTGCTAGCCTTGAGCTGAAGAGCTGAGGGACAGCGCCCAGGCCCAGAGTTCAGGCCCCACGACCGGACCCCCCCCCAAAAAAAAAAAAAAAAAAAAGAATTATGAGCTTTTCATCCTTGGAACAGGTTTTTGAAAAGAAAGGCCCTAACTTTCAAGAATAAAAATTGTATGCATAAAGTAATTAGAAATGCTTGCATGCAAAAATATGAATATCAAAAATTGAAGCTTTAAGCAGTTAATCTTATTCTAAAGTTAAATCCTGCCATGATATTTATTTGCTTATTTTCTGAAAGATGTTTTGTAGAGGCTGGGATTATTTTTTAGGGTTATCTAAGTTATTCACAAGAAAATTGCAAGGTCAGCTGGGCCATCAGTGGCTCATGCCTGAAATCTAAGAAAGGCCAAGAACAGGAAGATCACAGTTCAAGGCCAGCCTGGGCAGAAGAGTCCTCAAAACTCTCCACAGAATGGAAGCTGGATACAGCAGTGCTCAAAGTAGGTAGATTATGGCTCAGATGCACACTCAGGCAGGAGGTAAGGTCCTATAATAAAAATAACCAGTGATTAAACAGAACTGGAAGAATGGCTCAGCAGTTTAGTGTCAGCCCTCACAAGTGTGAGGCCCTGGGTTCAAACCCTAGCACCACCAGAAAAATAAAAATTC